TGAAATGTAGATCAGAAGCAGGTGAAATGCAGATCAGAAGCAGGTGAAATGTAGATCAGAAGCAGGTGAAATGCAGATCAGAAGCAGGTGAAATGTAGATCAGAAGCAGGTGAAATGCAGATCAGAAGCAGGTGAAATGTAGATCAGAAGCAGGTGAAATGCAGATCAGAAGCAGGTGAAATGTAGATCAGAAGCAGGTGAAATGCAGATCAGAAGCAGGTGAAATGTAGATCAGAAGCAGGTGAAATGCAGATCAGAAGCAGGTGAAATGTAGATCAGAAGCAGGTGAAATGCAGATCAGAAGCAGGTGAAATGTAGATCAGAAGCAGGTGAAATGCAGATCAGAAGCAGGTGAAATGTAGATCAGAAGCAGGTGAAATGCAGATCAGAAGCAGGTGAAATGTAGATCAGAAGCAGGTGAAATGCAGATCAGAAGCAGGTGAAATGTAGATCAGAAGCAGGTGAAATGCAGATCAGAAGCAGGTGAAATGTAGATCAGAAGCAGGTGAAATGCAGATCAGAAGCAGGTGAAATGTAGATCAGAAGCAGGTGAAATGCAGATCAGAAGCAGGTGAAATGTAGATCAGAAGCAGGTGAAATGCAGATCAGAAGCAGGTGAAATGTAGATCAGAAGCAGGTGAAATGCAGGTAAGAAGCAGGTGAAATGCAGGTCAGAAGCAGGTGAAATGCTCCTGCCAATTAATTCTGAATGAGCTCTGTTGACACGGACCCTATACCAGAGGTGGGCAAACTCCAGCCCCCAGCTGTGGTGGAACTACAAATCCCATGAGGCATTGCAAGATTCTCCCAGCCACAGGCATGACTCCCAGAGACCGATGCATCATGGGATTTGTAGTTTCACCCCAGCTGGTTCCCTACCCCCGCCCTATACCACCCTGCCCAGTCCGTCCTCCGCGCCTGCCCTGGCAATTTGCAGCACAACACCCGGCAGCTCCCCCCACCCCGCCTCCAGAAACTTTCTACGTTTCCAGTGATCAGGGAAAAGTGTAACCCGCTGGATTCCTCCACATGGAGAATTCTCCGCCATCAATTATACAAAGCGCCGGCTCTGGGTAAGGGATAGCGCAGACCTCGGGCCTGCCAGCTGCCGGCCGGCTTCTATTACAGCCCCTCCTCTCCCGCCGTCTCATCAACGTTTCATGACCCGCGTGGTGTCCGTTTACTTTCTCCGCTCCCCGGGGTGTGCTGCGGAGAGAGGAGCCGGGAATAGAGGTCTCTGGACCGTAGGGATTGGCTGACATCACCGCAGGGCGCCCGGGAGTTTCTAGAATGGGTTTCAGCTTAGACCTGAACTCCGGGCACACAAACCTTCATCCAAACGTGTCCTCAGTAGCCACAGAGAATATAAATGTGCACCAAACGCCTCTGCAAACCCAGATATTACCTTATAAGAGTCACAGTGACATCATCGCATAGCCCGTGCAGAGGGCAGAGCTGTGGGAGGGACACAGCGGGCCCCACCCACTGCAGGAAATTACAGGGACACTCCCCTCCCACAGCTGCATGTAAACAAAGGGGTGAGATGTTTGTGCTGACGTCAGTTACCTTATATGGTCACATAGACATATTAGGTAAATGTCATTGCCATATAAGGTCAATGACATCACTGCACCCCGCCCCTTTGCTTACGTCAAGCTGTAGGTGGGGAATTCCCCACCCGCAGCTGATTGGGTGGCATGGAAGGAGGAGCTCCTTCTGGGTGTGAAGGAGCCCAGGTTCAGTCCAAGCAAGGAAGTGCCATGGACACTTCGACCCAATCAGCTGTGGGGCGGAGCGTTCCCTGCTGCGTGTAAACAAAGGGGCGGGGTGTTTGTGTTGACGTCAGTTACCTTATATGGCCACATAGACATATTAGGTCAATGTCATTTACCAAATAAATCATGTTGCCATATAAGGTCAATGACATCACTGCACCCCGCCCCTTTGCTTACGTCAAGCTGTAGGTGGGGAATTCTCCACCCGCAGCTAATTGGGTGGCACGGAAGGAGGAACTCCTTCTGGGTTCGGAGGAATGGGCCATGGGCACTTCCACCCAACCAGCTGAGGGGCAGAGCGTTCCCTGCTCCATGTAAACAAAGGGGCGGGATGTTTGTGTTTGACATCACTTACCTTATACGGCCATAAGGGGGGGAAGGGGGGCTCTATTTGTCCTGGTGACATCGAAACAGAAAGATATGGGAAGTCCAAAGTGGTCCAGTTGTCACCAGAACAGGAATACTGCGGGCAGAAGATGTGTATTGGGTGTCACTCAAATGAATGGCAATGCAACGCGGTAGGCGTATTGCTCAATAGCGTGCGTTGCTCTCATGGCACCATGCGATTAACGCATTGCAATGGTGTGAACAAGCCCTAAAGGAGCCCAGCAGAGGGACAGGAGGGGGATAGAAGAGAGATTT